GTTTTGGCGGGAGCGTAATGAGGGTGTGCGTATGCGACGGAGCGGGAGCGTTATGGAGCGCGAGGTGCCGGCTTGGGGGGACGGTGGTTGCGGGGAGGTGCGGTGCGAGTGTCTTGAAGCGGAGGCTGTCTTGCCGGAGGTATAGTGGTAGGGGTAGAATGCTGTCGCTGTGGGTAGGATTGCTGCCGTTGAGAGCGCGAGCCAGGTTGGTAGGAAGGTGTGCATGGTGTTGTGACGTCGGTGTCTAGAGTCTGAGCTCTTCAGTCCTTTCGCCTTTCCAATTGCTTTGTGCCTTCTTCTCGAGGATTCGTGGTATCAAAGTCGCTTTCCAGATTCCAAGTGCGATGTTGTTAACGCGTCTCGTTCGCCTTCAGCCGTGAACGAATCCAAACAACCCAATCGCCAGAAACGAACGTAAATAACAAGGCACAGTAAACGTATACACAAGAAGAAGAAAAGATAATGACTACGCAATACCCGCCTGAACGAATGGCACCTAGGTAGGACGTGCGGCTGAAAAGAAGGACAATGCGGGTATGATCATCCAAAAGGTCCAAGTAGGTAAACAGTCCCTCAAGCTGTCCAAACGCCACAGAAAACCCAAGTTATCGTGAATAACAAGAAGAAGACGAAGAGAAACGTAGAGCAGTTCAGACGAAAGAAAGCACCAACGCCATCGCGCCATGCACCGCGCAAGCCTCACCCAACATGACGTCCTTGGCTCTCTCTCCTTCCCTATCACGATATGGATCCATCGGACGCGCAACCCGGCGAGTTAAGCTATGTGGGGCGCTAGCGCGCCCATCGTGTTTACCCCTGGAACCGACGTTCGTTTGAAACAGCGACTTCATGTCTGACAGGACCAATGACAGCTGCATGATGTAGCAATCTGCATCGGTTGTCTAGCATCTGGCATCTTCCTCGTTGGGGGCGATGACGGGTTCAAGGCTTTGATTTGCTGGTTGGTAGAGCTGATGTAGACGATCTTAGGAAGGGGAGGTGGGCTTGGCGTAATGCGATGGGCGACGGGGAGGCCGATGGGGGACGGTCGGTTTGGGAGTGGAGTGTCTTGATTATGCAATAGTCCTGGGCGATGGAAGAGTCTTTGTAGCACTGCCATTGTATGTACAAGAGAAGGTGTCTATGACGGGTTCATTCAAATGTTTCTACGAGATCTGGCTGCGAAAGTTTTCACATCTACTATTTCGCCCCCGCCTGTATCATCTCTGGTGCTTTCTTGACACCCACCACCTTCTTCGCCTCCATAATCTCCAGCCTGCTGAGACCCATACCGCTCAGGTATTCGTTGAAGCTGCCAAGGACCTTCTCAAGACCTTGTCTGAGACATTCTCTAGCTTCATCTACTTCAGGCACCTTCCTCCTCTCCGCTTCTGGTTTGCCATTCGTCTCCTTGTCACTCCAATGGATAGGAGCTGTGTCCATGTACTCATCGATCTTCTTCAGCGCAATAGTGAATATGCGCACTATGCTCGGGATTCCTTGGTGAAAGCGTCCTAAGCTGTCTTCTGCAAGAGAAAACACCGCAAGATTTGCTAATGCAGTCGCGGCATTGCAAACTTGGGAAAGTTGAGAGTAAGGTGCGCCGAGAACAACAATGTTCGACGTCCGTTGGAAGGAATGTTGGAACAGTAAGCCGACCGGGGAAGAAACAAGCTTGTTGTAATAAGTCGTAAAGAACGACTCGGCTTCCCTGACACCTTCTTGGGCCTTCTTCATTCCCTTGTTGATGGCTTCCCGACTGTATGCTTGCTGTGCGTTTCCTGGAGCGCTGTGTGACTTTGCAATACTGGCGGTTGCTGCTTCGACATGTTCCCACCTGGTACTCGGTTGTGGTGGCGCAGCAGCAATCGGCTTGTCGTCCTTCAGCGGTTGTGCGATACGAGGAACCAGATTGATAGGCCCAGTTGGCTTGTCTTGACCTGATGCGTCGCTGGGCTGATAGGCTGGATCGAGACCAGCACTGACGCGTTCGATAAGCCACTTGAGCTGTCCTAAACAGATATCCGTAACTTGCTGATGTGTCGGAGCCTTCTTACGATCCATCTCGCTGTAGATAGTCTTGCGCCGCTCGGGAAAGGCGTCGGTGATGAGAGCTAGCTCCCAAAATGCAATGGCCTGAATTAGTTAGCAGTGAACGTAGTAATAGTATCACTTCCTCTTACCTTGACAGTATCCTTCTTCGACTTGAGTCCGTTCAGAAGGGATCCATTGGGGTCGGTAGAGTCGTTCGTGATGGGCACATCGTTCTTCAAGGGCTCTTGTGCGAGGTACACATCGAAGGTCTTGTTGACAAACTCCCAGAGCACAACGAGAAGCGTTCCTTCTGTTACGAACATGAAGCAGAGAGGAAGAAATGGAGCAAGTCCTGTAGGTGTGGAAGTCTTGGACAAGCTCCAGAGGTATCGACTGAAGCTGTAGTAGTAGCTCCAGATCAGGTTTCGAGTTCCGAGGTAGTAAAGACAGAAACCGGCAGCTGCAATGACTGAGGCCAAGAAGGTCGATTGTGTTGCAATGCCCTTGAGCGACCTCGTAAGGACATGTCTGGGCTTGGGGCCCCGTCTTGCTGGGGTCAAAGTGGTCGCGTCACCCCGCTCCTTCTTTGGCTTCATCGCCTGCAATTCAATCTTGTCGTAGTCCCTCCACAAGTGTACTCCAGATTGTGCTGCTGATAGCAGGTAGAAGAGATAGCGCAGGTAGAGCGGCCTCTCGTTCAGCCGGAATCGCTCGTGCATGCGGCCGGCCTCGATGAAGTTGAGTCTGGCTTGGGTGCCCCGCGACCAGATATATGTTTCGACAAATAGCATCGCGGAGAAAGCGTATGCGACGAGCGTGATCAGCGTCGCAGGACCGAAGAAGTATTTCTTGAACGTCTCGAATCGGGTCTCTGTTTGGCGGCGGCCAACATGCCACTGGGCGACGCGAAGGACGTAGATGGAAAGGGCGGAGAGAAATATGAGAAGGGTCCGGATGCCAGTGAGGCCTAGAGGAAACCACAGCCATAGCACTGTTTCTGTTAGTAGGTGTCTCTGGATTTCATTCAGAGTCTCTCACTGTTATCCCATTCTCCCATCCAGCACGCGATCGCATAGCATAGTAGCAGCGTGTATCGACTGGCCTTGTTGAATCTTCGGTGCAGAGCTGGCGTCAGGTAGTCTCTGTACGGGCGCACTTGCGTTCCCAGCGGTGCGAGCGCCATGTTTGCGACAGTTCGGACGGAGAGAGCGTATGAGTGAGGAACGGGCTATATCATAGCAAAGAAACAGAAGGATGGCGTCGCGCCAAGGGTAATTCGAACGCGCTGGTGCGGCAGTCTGGAGTACTGCAGCAAGGAAAGCTGCCCGACTTTGTCAAACAAACATTGTTGATCGGCGCAGCTACCACTTCGTCGCCGACAGCTGCACGCTTACCTAAGAGATCCGCTTGTGCCTTGAGCCATGTGCCCTAGCCGCGGTCCTTCGTCATCGCCGCAGGAACCACCGAGCACCAACCTCCAGGTAGCCACGATTGGACTTGCGTACTAGGCTGCAACGACCCCACACACGATCGCATAGCTTCAAACATCGTCCAGACACTCTTCTAGAAGATTACCGGGTGCCGCTTCTCTTATCCGGCACCATGTCGTTCCAACGCTCCAGCGCCCTCGAATCGCAACCCACGACATGGCGAAGGGACGACGATCCGTCATACGCCGATGACCCAGAGTTCCGCGACTTCGCCGACAAGCTTTCCGACGACCTCTTCGCCCTGACCCGCAACGTCGCCCGCCTGTCGCAAGAGACGGGCAAGCTAGGGACCAAGCACGAGACCGCCCGCGTGCGCGAGCGCGTGAAGACCACCGTCGAAGAGACATCGGAAAAGTTCAAAGAGCTTGGAGAGGGATTGAAGAAGATCACGACCTGGCCCGATGTTGGCGTATGGATATCTCGTTCTTGAGATGGAAGCCGGTAGCTAACAGACCACAGCCCTCGCAGAAGTTCACGCAATCGAAGCTCCAGCGCGAATTCAAAGCAACACTCACTGAGTTCCAACACCTCCAGAAGCAAGCGCTAGAGAAAGAGAAGCAGTCGGCACAAGCGGCACGCACAGCCCTGCAAGACGTATCATCGCCAAGCGAAGAGCGGGGAGGAGACTTTGGGCAACAACAAGAGCAGGAGCAGCTGCGCTTGGCAAACCAGGATGAGGTCGACTTCCAGGAGTCGATGATCATTGAGCGCGAGTCTGAGATCCGCAACATCGAGCAGTCGGTTGGGGAACTCAACGAGCTGTTCCGTGATGTTGCGCATATGGTGCACGAGCAGGGTGCTCAACTCGACATCATCGAGGAGAATGTCGAGGTCACGCATGACGCGTCGCGAGGTGCACATGTGAACCTTAAGCAGGCGAGCAACTACCAGAAGAGCGCGAGGAGTAAGGCGTGCATTCTGCTGCTCATTCTCGCTATTGTTCTGGTCATCATCATTCTTGCGGTCGTTCTGGATTAGATGATACGTACATCGTCTCTGTAATGCTTGGTTCTGCTTGTTTCGGCGTTGCATTGTACATTTGGGGGGATCTTATACCATGGTGCATTTCATTGCAAATTTCTGTCGTTTTCGAACCGTGGTTTTGCCAAATGTGCAGTCTAGCTGTCCATGTTATGTCATAAAGTGGCTCTTATGTTAGCCATATCATATCTAATCGATGTTCAACATTTCCTCTCTCACTATCGTGTGTCCTTCCTGCGTTGGTTGCTCGCTCCTTCCCCCACGTGCTTCTCTGGCCAGGACTCACCTCAATGAGAAGGCGCGCTACGAAAACTTTCGCTTACCACACTCACTTTCGCTTCACCTCTCACATAGCTTGCTGCTACTTCTTTCCTGAGCTGTGACAGCAACAATCGTCTACGAACCGCCGTCGACTGCGGCTGTCGACGCCTCCAACCTTTCTCCCTCTACAACTTCGTGGCAGCTCTGTCGCTGTTGCTACTACCTACACAAGCCATGAGCGCCCCGGGTACCTCGCCACCAAAGGTTGTGCCGCCACTTCACAGGTACATCTTTCAGGCCGACAGATGGACAAGAACTGACCTTGACTTAGTGTCACATCTCAACAAAGTGCTCCAGCGAACGTCATCATCGAAGTCGGCCCAGACGGCAACAAATACTACATCCAGAAGGCCTTTCTGGTACATTACTCCGAATACTTCAGCAAAGCACTCAGCGGAACATGGGAGGAAGCCAAGAACGGAGTCGTGACTCTCACCGACGTATTGCCTGGTGTCTTCAACCTCTTCGTGGAATGGCTGTATACTCAGCATCTTCCCAGCAACTACTCCCAGATCGCAGATGGAACAACCCATGAGCACAAGTGGATGATCAGGCTGTACGTGTTTGCAGATCGTTTCGCGGTGGCAGCATTACGAACAGCGATGAACCGAGCGATCGTCAAAAAATACAGCAAGCCATCCCTGCCTCCCTATTCGTCGATCATATATGCCTTCGATAACCTTCCTTCAACAGATCCAATCCTAGATCTGCTCGTGGACATTACTTTCATCACATGGCACTCTTCCCGCGACGGCCCCAAAGGAGCGGCGATGATCCAGGACTTGCCAAAGGACTTCTTCATACGCTTCTACATGAGAGTCGGCAACGAACGTGCTCAAAACCGTGCAAACGTATTCGGCGCTTTCGATATTGACTTTTGTAGCTATCATGAGCATGAGAACGAAGCGGATAAGGACAATTGCCCCATCCAGTACAAACCGGCCGCCGGAAAATACAAATTGGAGCGGCCGGATGTCAACAAGAAACCAAAGGACACAGGCAGCTCCTCGTAGAGCATGGTCATATATGTGGGGGCTTGTACTTGCTGTATGATCATGGCAACTAGATGACGGTTCACGCCATATACGGGTATCTACTCAACATTCGGCGATTAGGTAGCAACAGTCGCTCTAGGCGCTGTTGACAGGCTCGCCCTTCTCATCAATCAAACTCTCTTCAGTCTTGACTGGACCTTCACCAACACCTGTCAAGATGACTCTGCTGACACCCTCTTCCAAGAATGTGATGGCGGGACCGGCGTCAAACTTGACCTTCTCGAGCGCGTCGGCGTTGGCCTGAACAGCCTGGCCCCTCTCGCCTTGCCAGCCATCCTTCTCGTTCAGGATCTGCTTGAACAGACCAGCAACCTCCTTCTCGTTTTCCTCAAGGTAGTACACAACAGCGTTTGGGCCCGCATCGAAGGTGTACGCAGCAATGATCTTCCCAGCCGCAGCGTTGATGCTCTCAACGACCTTGATAGCCGCACGAGAAACGTCGTTGAGGTAGAAGATCGGAGGGAAGGTATCGAGGCAAGTAGCGTGGAAAGAGTTGCTGTCCATCATGGTAAGCTTACCAAAAGCCTCAAAGTCCTTGTCCTGAATAGCCTTCTGCATTTCCTTCATGCGCTTTGGGACCGTCTCGGTAGCTCTCGATTGGAAGAGGCTAGATGTAGCAACAGTGATCTGCATACCAGAGGTACTTGACACACCCTTCTTTGCTGCGCTGACAACCAAGATGACAGCGCGCATGTTGGGCCAATGGCTCGCAGGCGCAACCTGGAAAGCCACACTATCACTGCCATCCGAAGCGGAGCCTTGTTCCCAGCCTACATATCCGCCGAAAAGCGAGCGGCACGCGGAGCCAGAGCCCTGCCTTGCGATGCGGGAGAGGTCGGTCGGCGAAGAAGGGAGCTCGTAGAGGTTTGCAATTGCGCGGACAAGAGCAGCGAAACCGGCAGCCGAACTAGCCAGTCCAGCGGCGGTGGGGAAGTTGTTCTCGGAAACGATGCGCAGAGGGAGGTCGGCGAGTTTAGCGAGGCTAGAGTCCTTGTCCTCGAGCTGCTTCCTCAGTGCCCTCAGCTCCCTGAAGCACGCTTGTGTCCTAGCACCAGAAACATCCTGCGATTGGCCGTTCAGGAGAAGAGTGTCCTCTTTCGGGTAATTGGACGAGCACGACGCGGTGGTGTGGGTGCGGAGGTCGGACTGCGCGAGGGTGACGCTGAGGGAGGAGTTGGTGGGGAGGTTGAGCTTGGGGTCGCGCTTTCCCCAGTATTTGATGACCGCGATGTTGACCGGGGCGGTGGTGCTGGCACGGTGGATGTCGGACATTTTGGCGTTTGATATACAGGAACGGAGGGAGGGAAAGAAGCAAAACACTGAGGGTAGCGGTGAAAGTCAAGGGGGCTTGGTGGGGTTTAATGTTTATATGCAGGGTCTAGTTGGATGCGGTCTAGAAAGCGCGGATCTAGGACAGTGACTCGAGACAGCGGAATTACCTGCACGATGACAGGTTAGACAGGTCCAATCTTAGAAATTGGCCGTCTACTACAGATTATACTCCGGCCGTGAGAAGGTATACACCTTGACGCTGTCCAACGCGGTGGAATGCGGTAGTTGAAGGCCAGCCAATCAGACGCACCTGATTCCCGCAAAGGCCCGTGCCCAACATTTCTCGATGGCTTCCGTCACCATCCCGAGTTTCTCGGAACCCGACAAAACCAACCTCACACATCTCCACCACAATGTCCTCGCAAGACGACCCCGCAGCCGCCTGCCCCGTCGACCACAAGACACGCGAAGCATGGCTCGCCCAAGCACGCGCCCAAAACGGCTCCACACCACCAAATCCCCATAGCACACCCATCCCAACACCCGCCGCCGCCGCCGCGCCAGCACCCTCGCAATCCGCCGTCCAGCAATCCTGCGACTCCTCCTCCCTCGACCAAAGCACCACCTCCCCACCCCCAAGCAGCACAAGCATCCTCTCGCAAATACGCCTCGGCACCGACCGCGAAGTAAGCACAATACCACGCGCGCTCCCCTCCCAAATCGCAGCACAACCCGCACCCAATGCACGACCGGCAAACAACGAGCGCGACACCGGCTCCGACAAGAAAACCGGAAACTGGATCTACCCGTCCGAGCAAATGTTCTTCGACGCCATGCGCCGCAAATCCTACGACCCCTCCGCCCCAGACATGCGCACCATAGTGCCCATCCACAACGCGGTCAACGAACGCGCATGGCACGAGATCAAAACCTGGGAAAGCGGGCGCGGGAGCGAGAAATGCGGCGGGCCTAAATTGGCGAGTTTCTCTGGGTTGAGCACGAGTTTAACGCCACGGGCACGGTGGAAGAGTCTGATGGGGTATCGGCCGCCGTTTGATAGGCATGATTGGGTGGTGGATCGGTGTGGGACGAAGGTTGAGTATGTGATTGATTTTTATGCAGGGAGGGATGAGGGGAAGGTGGGGAAGGCACTCAATTTTTATTTGGATGTTAGGCCTAAGTTGAATAGTTGGGAGGGGGTTAAGATGAGGGTGGCGAGGTTTTGGGGGTTTTAGGGATGGAAGATGGGGGAGAGATGGGGGTTGTAGGATAGATTTGTATATATGTATGATTAGTTGACTTGGGAGTGGGGTATAGACATGAAGTTGATGAGTATGGATAGATGTATATATGAACGCGAACGGGAATAGAGTAACTTCGCTCAAGAAGGGAATCCTGCGCCTGAAACGCGCAGTCGACGCTACCATACGCCTCTATGCGCCATGCGTCCATCTGAGACTTAATTATATCCCCGGAAACAACTCCCTCTAAGAACTTCTCCTCCCACCCTCCGACATCAAGATACGTACAGCCGAACGTACGACAAAGTCTATCCCTCATCAGAACCAGAACGCATTCATCCCAACCACCTCCTAATCTAGTAAACATCCACGCCCAACTTCCTCAACTTATTACAATTCTTCAACTCCATATTCCGCGCCTTATTCATAGCCTCCTGATCGACACTAAACCACCCCTGCGCCTCTTCCATCGCCCTCCGCTGCCTAACCCTCTCATTCTGACACCTCGTATTCGTAATATGCACATACTGATTCTCAGCTATATCATCCAGCTTACGCCATTTCTTCGGTGTGTATTCATGCACATCCTTGGGATCGACGTAGTAATCTATCTTTATCCGCGTGGACACGCGCTTGAGTGTGTTGGGGGAGCGCGGTGTTTCGAAGACGAGGTTGGGACTTGCGGAGGTGGAGGTTGAGCCGGAGAAGAGGGAGGAGAGGAGGGGGAGGACGAAGAGGAAGAGGAGGGGGAGCAGGTTGGCGAAGGCGGAGGAGAGGTTTTGTTGGCCTTCGCTGCCGGGGGGGACGGCGGTGCCGGGGCGTCTGCGTGGGCGGCCGCCGCCGAATTGGTGGACGCGGACGCCGGGGCCGCCGCCGAGGTTGAAGACGAAGCCTGGGCCTGTGTCCATGCCGCCTGTGTGTGTTAGTTCGTTGTCGTCTTTTTGTTCTTGTTGTGCAGTATAGACCACAACTTCAAGACCGAGGTCTCTGGGCAAAGGAAAACGTACCAAAAGGCCCCCCAAACGCACCCCCAAAGAACTGTCTAAACAACTCTTCAGGCGTCATCTCCTCCTCAAACCCACCCCCTCCTCTCCTCGCAAACCCATTCCCAAACGGACTCGCACCACCCCCTCCATTCGCACTCGCATGCGCCCTCGGATCAAACCGCGCATCTGGATCCCCACCAAACTGATCGTACTTCTTCTTCTTATCCGGATCACTCAGCACCTGGAACGCCTTGCTGACCAGCTTGAACGCATCGTCGGCGCCGTCGTACCCGTTCTTGTCCGGATGCGTGAGGAGCGAGAGCTTGCGGTACGCTTTCTTGATATCCGAGTCTGAACAGCTGGCTTTTACTTCTTCCAGACCGAGGATCTTGTAGTAGGCGGTTGGCGCGCATGATTTGATGCGTATTACGGCGGCTTTTTGCTCGACCGTGAAGGCTCGGCCGGCGCTGCCGTCGTGGTGGTCTCGCGATTTGGCGTCGGAGCCCGAGGTTTTGCCTGACATTGTGTGCTGTGTGAGAGGTGGTTTGTGGGGTATCGGTGTGTTGTGGTGGGAGATTGTGCTGCCGGGGCAGGCAGCGGTGGGGGTGGGAGGCCGATGCGCAAGTGTGGACGGCTGGTGATAATGCGGCGGTGATGGCGATGGGTGTGCGTGAATCAAATGTCGTCCCGTGACGGGGTTGTGGTTGTATTAGTCGTTAAGGCGTTATCTGTTGTCTGTCGAAGTTCGCGAGTCCCGGAGGCCAGTTTCCATGTGCTGGGTTGGCACGGGCGGGCGGTCCACTTGCCGGACCAACGTCATGGTCTTCACCCAATCTCAACCCATGTACCCTTCTGCGCGCATTTGTTCCTGAGCACTGGACATATTCACTCGTCAGTCAATTCTTTTACACACTTCAATAGCACACACGCACTCCACAATGCCCGAACAACCGAAAGCCTCCATGCTGCAATCGCTGAGGAATTGGGGAGGTACGTCTATCCCATCACTTCCTGATTCACCTCGTCGCACGTGCCTCACATTGTCTTGTACAAACATCGAGGCAAGGTCACTAACTCAATCATTTTTGTACAGAGAACTCCGTGCCGCCAACACTCCTCGCCACCCTAATCACAGCCCAACATGCTCGTCCATTCCAGTTCTTCCCCATGACGTTTACACCCGTGTTGCTCTTCTCCTCCTACCTGAACTTGAGCAACTACAAGACCGATGCTGCCGGTATCACGGCTGCATGGAGTGGGTTGTATGCATTGCTTGCTATGCGGAGAAGTCAGGTATGTTTTAATCAATTTTCCACGTGGAAGGATTTCTTCATCAGACTACATTGAGAGTGGCAAAATCTAACCAAAAACAGGGCATCAAAAACAAGCTCAGCGCTCGCGGCATAGTAAGAGGCGGCTCACTCGCTCTCTGCGCGATCAATGTAGCTGGCTGCGGTCTAGCCTACACATTCGGCAAGCGAGAAAAGGAAGAGAAGAAAGCATAGAGCTCGACAAACGCCGTCATTTGTAACATTATGTATCCCTAAGATTGTAATCTCTAAAACTAGTCATGCGATGTTGCAATGAGATCTATCAGGTGCAACCCATCTCAAAGACGCCGTCGCTATGCTGAATAATCGACATCATTTGCGAGATACGTTATCAATCCCAGGCATCACCCCAGCCTTCCTCTTCTTCGTCAGCTTTCGGCTCTTCTTTCTTGACTTCTTTCTTAGGCGGCACGATGACCTTTCTCGTCGTTCCTGTCGTGCTCGATCTGCTTCCTACTGCCGGTCTAGCGGCCTTTGCTGCTGGCGCAGCTGATTTGGTGAGACCCTTTGGAAGAGCGTTCTTCGTGGGCTTCTTCGCATTCGATTGAGCTGCCAACCATCCCGCGAAGTCAGGCTCGCCCTTGTCATCATATGACGTCGTGGATACTGGCTTCGACACGGCTGGTGTACCCCATGGATCCTCCTCGTCTTGTGGTTTGTCCTCTTCGTCAGCGAAGCCGCCCCAGTCATTGTTGAAGTCTTCTGCCTCGTCATCAAACGCCGCTGCTGGATCTGGTGATTTGATGGTAGGAATTGAAGCGGTACTCTTCGCGCTATGAAGAGTCATTCCGGGCTTTGTGGCTACAGGGACTGGTGGTTTGCTGGTTGTTGTGGTAGCTGGTGGTACAGAGGACGATCTTTGATCCACTGCTCCATTGGTTACAGAGTTGGCCTGCATCTCGCCGCTTGTAGATGCTAACTTGTTTGTGAAACTTGAAATGGCCCAGCCGGCCCACGAGGTATCGTTTGCAGGTGTTCCAATCCGTGGGGTAGGCCCCCCGCCAGCGGCGAGACCTGGTGATGGTAGCACGGTATCCGGCATTGTGGCCGCGAACTTGCGGATCCGTGCAATGTAGATGTCAACACTCTTCTGTGCTTGGTCGCGAATGAGCTTCTCCTTGTCTACCAACGAAGGACACATGATAGGAAGGAGCTTGGTCGCACAGTCATCTTCCGTGAAGAGATCGGCCGTTGCGGCCAGTGCAAGCAGCGCAGCGTTTCGAGCGTGTACGAACGGGTCACGTAGCGAGCGAGAGAAAGCTGCTGCGAGGACCTTGGCTCGGCTCTGTCAATATGTTAGTGTCTGTTCTGTACGTCGAATGTATCAAGACGCACGCTAGCTCCCAAGTTCCGCGCAATCTTTCCTAGACAGATTGTAGTGTTGGTCCGAATCCCGGGCTGTTCATCGTTTGCCGTCTTTGCTAGATGGCGAAGAAGCTCGC